TAAGTGTTAGAAATAGAAGCCCCGGAGTTGTTAAGTGGTAAAAGTAGATTTATGACTAACTCCACCAGCTGTCCTAAAATAACCATAGAGGGGCTGGCTTTGGACGGTGCTTTTATTATCATTATATTGTCTTTGTTTTGCATTTTTGTTAAGCAAATTAAAGACAGTGATTTGGTATAGTAGAATTGTAATCAAAGAAGTTTGTAATTAGTTAAGTACAGCTAAGTTTAGGGTTTTCTACGCTGTAAAAGTATTAAGCAATTGCTAGTTTAAAAAAAACCCATTTGCTAATTGTTAGTTTTGATTTAAAAAAAAAAATCATTCCACTTAATAAAAATCATTTGTTTCACCATCATCCAGTAGTTTTCACTGGGTAGTCAGCTTTAACCCTTGAGACTCCCATCACATCACCGAACCAAGGTGTAACAGTTAGGACTAAACTAAACTCCCAGAGAGGATGAGGCTGCTGAACGTGCAGGTACAGTCTGTCTAGCCCAGGGGTGGGCAAGAAGTGGCCAGCGGGCTGGATCCAGCCTGCCAAGCCACTGGCCCCTAGTCACCTCACCAGCACCCTTACTACAGAGCCAGGGCAGCAGCTGTAAACAGCAGTGGCCCAACAGCCTCATGCAGTTTCAGGCCGTTCTAAGGGGTGACACCTTCAGCCGTAAAAGAATGTCCCTTATGGCCATAAACCAGGCCCTGGGAACAGAGACCATAGCTGTAATGGAGTCCAGTCAGGCCCTTACGAACCTGAGTGTCTCTGTGGGAACAAGGGTCAATTTCTCCTCATTTATTAAAAGACCCAGTTGTACAATGGAATGCCTAATTCTATGTGCTGAATTACCTGGGCCTTTGCGGGGTCCCTGATCAGCCAATCATCCAGGTACGGGAAGACTTGAACGCTGTGTTTCCTTTGAAAGGCTGCTATGACTGCCATACATTTTATGAAAACTCTTCAGGCCACAGAGGCGCCAAACATGAGAACTGAAAACTGGCAGTGGTCTGTCCCAGTTGTAAACCTGAGAAATCTCCTATGAGCAGGAATCAAGAGATATGGGAGTAAGCATCCTTTAAATTGAGGGCAGAGTACCAGTCCCCCCTCTCAAGAGAGGAAATAATGGAAGCCAGCATTACTATTCTGAACCTCGTCTTTTTTTATAAAGTTGTTCAAGCCTCTGAAATCCAGAATAGGCCAGAGACCTCCCTTGGACTTCTGTATAAGGAAGTAACAGGAATAAAAACTCTTTCCTCTGAACTCTTTGAGAACCAATTCTACTGTCCCCAGCTCTGGGAATGACAACCTCTTGTTTTAAAAGGTGCTCATGAGAAGGTTCCCTAAAGAGGGATGGGCACAGGTACTCCTACTGTAGGTAATAACCAATGATCTGAAGTGAACTGAGACCAAGCACAGTAAAAGTGGGATAGATGATTGACAAAAGGGGGACCTGGTATGGAGGCTGGAATTCTGCCGTTGGGCGCATCTTCAAAATCCTGAACTAGGCACCTGTTGATTCAAGGGAAGGCCCATTTCCTGGAAGGAAGCATATCTCCATCTCCTCCTTTTATTTCTCTCCCATTTTTGTTACAGCCTCTTCTCTTATTAGTATTGGGTCTATAGCTCTGCTGGAAGAGGGGTGTTTTTGTGTGCGGGGTCTAATATTGACGGAGTGCCAATGTGGGGCCGGTGTATGTACACCCAAAGACTTCCTGGAGTCTTGAGACTGTGCAGCTTCATATCAGTTTGGTCAGAAAATAGTCCAGCTCCCACAAAAGAAAGATCCTGCGTCATGGTTTCGACCTTGGGTGGGATGCCGGACTTCTGCAACCACAAACTATGCTGCATTACTATGCCTGTCGCCACTGCAGCAGAATCTGCAGCATCCAAACCCCCGTGAAAGGTCATGCACGAGACCACTTCACCTTCCTACGACAGTGCTCTGAACTCTTGGCGGGAGTCCTGAGGTGGTAGTACTTTAAACTTATCCACTACCACCCAGATGTTATAGGTATGAAAACTACCGCCTGGTGATTGGCAATCCTTAGCTGCAATCCCCCCATTGTGTATGCCTTTCTGCCCAGCAAGTCCAATTACTTGGGCTCTTTGCTCTTAGGCCCAGGACCCGGCTGATTGGTCTCTCTGTGGCTGGCTGCCCGGACAACCAAAGTACCTGGGAGTGGGTGCGCATACAGATGCTTGTGCTTCACCCCCTTCTGGGTCAGTGGGACAAATGCCGGGATTTGCCAGAGTCTTAAAAGTTTTGGCCACTGTCTTGTTAAGTGGCATTGCCACGCTGCCTGGGACATCTGCAGTGAGGATATCTACCATTGGGTCCATATCCTCCATGACCATCTCGGCCTGGCTACCCAGGTTGCTCGCCATCCTTCTGAACAATTCCTGGTGTGTCCTCGTATCCATGGTGGGCATGGGTGGCGAAGGATCTTCCAGGGTTCATCAGGCAACTATTAAGAGTCTGTGATTGGTAAATGCTCCTGCTGTAGCCTGTCCGCTGAGGTGGGTCTGGAATGGTCGCATGCACTGCTGCTTCCTCACCTTCTGTAGGTGGTCAGTCCGCCTGCTTTTGTGGGCTATGTCTGCTCTCTGATGCTGGGGCCCTTGGAAATGGCAAGGCTGAGTAAGTACCCCTGGAATATGTACCAGTAGAGCCCAGCGTGGAAGGCATGGGGCCCTGGGCCTGATGGTAGGCCCACAGTGTGCCTGCCACTGCAGGGGCCATGTTTGCTGCAGTGGTGGGCTATGGTGCTGCGAGTGGTACCTGGAATATGATCAGTGTCAAAACTGGGAACAGGTGGATGAGGCCCTTGACCACACTGACTCTGCCCTAGACAAGTGGGAAGCAGACCAGGGCAGTGCTGCGGACGCCAGTGCTGGGTGCTGTCACCTAGCTATAGGCTTCCCCCGGTGCCGAACAGGAGCAGGTGGCAGCATCTGGTCAGTCAATGGTCCTGGTACTGGGGTCTGTGCTGGCAGTGGACGAACACTAACACTAGAGAACTATCTACAAAATGAGCTGACGGTAGACTTGAAAACCAAGCCCAGGGTGTTCCAAAAACAGTTATGAGCAGTCAGAAGGAACTGAGGGGATAGAGGGCCAGCAGAGGTATATATACACAGCACGACTCCAGAGGGCTCCCTGGGAAAAAGCTTCTGACATCTGTGCACACTGCTGTGTGCACACACCTACATGGAATGGACATGACCAAGAACTCAAAGAACCACCAGTGTTGCTAGGGTGTTTCTCTTGTCCCACTTACACACCTCAGAGGATGTTGTAAAGAGGACTTAATGATTGTGTAGTGCTTTGAACATGAAAGTGCTTTACAGGTATTAAGTATTTATTTTTATGATAATTACGGATAAGGTGACTGAAGGCTTGTCTATACTAGAGACAGCAGGGCAAAACCTAACTAAGGTACCTGCCATTTTGAATTCTGGCCACCAGTTCATGATTTAAATGGAATGAGAACAAACATGAAACAGAACAAATACAAAGCATAACATTTAAGAGTCCAAGTCTGTCAGTTTACATTCTTTAAAGCTGTGGTGTAGCCAGAGCTGTCCTGTCCATAGGACCGTTCAGGGAAGCCACCTCAGGCCCTGCGCTTTGGGAGGCCCCATAGTGGCTTTGGAGGGGTGGTGTTAGTGGGAAGGGGGGAAGATAACCTCGGGGCCTGGTAGGGGTCCTCCCTACCCTTTTGCCCCTATGCACTCACTGCAGGGATGAGAGCCAAAACAGGAGCAATCTGGCAGCCATCTCTGCTGCCCATCTCCTAGCCTACTGTGCTCTGCTTCCTCGCGGCATCAGCAAAGGGACTGACCAGAGACTTACCCCAGGGTGCTTTGTCTGTCTGGCGCAGAGCAGAGCATGCTACTGGAACACTTCAGCTATTGCCATTGTGGTGACTGTAGGGAGCCAACTCCTGCTATCCCCTGCTTGAGTCACTCAGGGAAGGAGCTTTGGGCAAGGGTTGTGATGTGGGCAGGAGGAAACAGAGCACAGCAGGAAGGGGCAGGGTTGTAGCCTACTAACCGATATCTGTTTTATCTTGGCCTACTAAAATATTTGCTTTATTTTAGTTAATTAATAGCTGTATGATTTTATTTTGTTTTTCCTTTATATAGATTTGAATATGCTGGTAATGCAAGGGGCCTGCAGAACTCATTTTCCGTGAGATGGCTTATGTGAGCAGTAGGTAGTTAAATACTTTTCTTTGTAATTTTTCATAAAGGGATGAAGTAAGCATTTGTGGTTGGCACAAGAGTTTATTTTTTGAATTCTGCCCAGAATTCGCAGAACAAATCTGCTAACAGCGATAAAAGCCATTTCAAATTTCCTGCGCAATCAGTCTAGATAGCAGGTTTTAAACTGCAACTTCCCACACTTTAAGTGGTTTTGGGAAATTATTCAAGAAAACATCGGTCATTCTTAATAAATATTCATAAGGTCCCCAAATACTTCTTCCAATCAGAGATGGTACCCTCAGAAATCTTAGGGTGCTAGGCCCAACTATGGAAAAGGGGTTGTATATCCAGAACATTTTGGCACAGGGATTTGGGAGATCGGGGCTGCTGTCCCAGCTTTGCTGAAGCAGTACACTCTGGAGTGCATTACCTTTTCAGCTCAGAAACTAAATACTTACATCTATCTATCACTATAATGGCTTTCTTGCTTCCTTAAATTTTGCTTAAGTTTGCTTTTAGAATCTTACTAACCCTGGAAGACGTGGGAGCAAGGGGAAGGGAAGCCACCTTTCTCCACCAACCCTGGGGTCCTTGTGTGTAGGAAATATAATTATTATTATTACTCTTTGTATACTTAGGTAAGTTTTAATTTGATTGTGTTGAATTCCTTCCCAAGATGTCTTTAAGTGATTTGTGTTCTCGCCCCCCGATTTTGTTGTGGTAAGCATTATAGTCAGGGCTTGATGAACGGTGGCGAAAGCCACTCACCAGCCCCGCACTGCGCATGCACAAGATCCGCATTGCGCATACGCGCGGCTGCAGATGAACGGGGTGCCCAGCTGAAATCTACTCGCAATGGCCGAGTAGATTCAGTACTTTGTCAAGTCCTGATTATAGTTGTTCCTTTAGAAATAAAGTTGTTTTCTATTTCATTTCCTGAGTTGAAGTGTGGTTGCTGTCGGTCACCTGCCAACCCTCAAGAGAGGGAATCTTATGGTTCCACTGAACTGTAACCTAGGATAGAGGACGAACCTAGATTTTTCTGGTCAGATTGGCGAGCCTAACTCATCCAAATTTTATTAAAACTCCTTCCCAGGCTACTGGGTGGGGGTGGAGCCTGTGGTAAGGAGGGTCACACCCTGGGCTCTGCACTTTCCTAGGGATGACCCTGGATGTGGCTAAGCTCCCACAATTCATGACCAATTTCAGCAAATTTCCTGTCTGACACACACAGGCTAATTAGCAAAGGGTTCATTATTATTTACATGCAACTCTTTTCTGCAAGAAATAGGCAAGAATGATTAAAGGTCTAGAGAATATGACCTATGAAGGAAGACTGAAAGAATTGAGCTTGGAAAAGAGGGGACATGATCGCAGTTTTCAGGGATCTAAAAGGGTGTCAAGGAGGAGGGAGAAAAATTCTTCTCCTTGGCCTCTGAGAATAGGACTAGAAGCAATGGGCTCAAACTGCAGCAAGGGAGGTTGAGGTTGGACATTAGGGGCTTATCTAAACTAAGAGGAACGTCGAAAGAGGATATGCAAATTCTGCGGGAATTTGCATGTCTTCTTCCAATCTCACTTTCAAAATAGGATCTTTTGAAAGTGAAAGTAGTCTGGATGACCCCTTCATCGAAAAGCTGTTCTTCCTCAAAAAATTAGGTTTACACGGCTTTTTGACAAGGGGAGGGGTTTGCCGAAAAAAGCAGAGTCTAAACTACTTTCACTTTAGAAAGCTCTGGTTTCAAAAGTGTGATCAGAAGAAGATATGCAAATTCCATGGGAATTTGCATATCCTCTTTTGACTGTTCCGCATAGTCTAGATAAGCCCTAGGAAAAACTTCCTGTCAGGGTTGTTAAACATGTCTGGAGATATTTAAGAGCAGGTTAGATAAATATCTATCAGGGATGGTCTATGGTACTGGGTCCTGCCATGAGGGCAGAGGACTGGATTCGATGACCTGTCGTGGTCCCTTCCAGTCCTAGTACTATATGATTCTATGACTCTGGCAACACTTCACACAGCACTTCCGTGATATATATTTATGAAATGTAGCATGCAATAGTGATCTTCTGTATATCTCAGTCTGGAAAAAGACACTGCATCTGTTCACTTGAGCAGACATACTGTGGAGGCATTTCATGGAAGATTTGATCCTGGTTTTCAGGACCAGGAAACCAGCCAGCTAAGCAACAGATTATTGGGGGTGGGGTGGGGAATGGGAATCTACTTTATTAGACAACAAAGGTAACTATTAATAAGCATAAGCCTTAGCTCAAGTTTTATGATTTGTTTTATATTCTGACCATTTACTTCCATCACTTTTGTTACTAGGGGAAATCTCTTATTTTTTCTTATAATAAAACAAAAGATTTATTTAAGTGCTGTGCATTACACAGGAAGAGTTAAGAAAAAAACTGAACAAACAGGGCAAACTGCTCATGGGGGAATGGAAGATCTGGGATTTCTGTGAGTGGCTAGTGTTGGGGCTGGGTTCCACAAGGAAATGCTTCAAGGGGTCTGTCTCGCCCCTCTTGTTAAGCTGCAAAACAAAGACATGGCTAGCACAGCCCAAGGAGAGTGCTTGAGTGGCTGACAGGCTAGAGGAGTTAAGGAGCTAACACTCAACTAAGACAGGCAAGGCACTCTCTCAGTAGAAGCAGGGGGTAACAAGGTGACTCAGTCCTTATAGCAAGTGAATCATCACACTGTACATACAAGAGAAGCACCCCAGACTTCCTCTGTACTCACCTGTTCTCCATGCACAGGGCATCTACATCAATGATGCGATTTTCATGTCCTCCTAGGATGTGATTAAGCTCTTGGTTGAGTCGGTCTGCTTTATCTTGATAAGAAGAACGTTCTTCCTTTAGGTCCTGTAGCTCATCCAATGCAGCTTGAAGATCATGTTCCAGTGTCTCAATCTGAGAAGAAAGCAAAGCTCTGCTAACATTATTTTGAATTTACTGAAGAGTACATTATATCTAGACACAAAACAATCATAAGTACTTTACTTCTGAAGAGGGTCAAATTTAGGCAAACAGTACACTTACGATAATCCATAAAAGTAGATCAAAAGAGTCCTAAAAATACTAACAGGCAGCAAGAAGACTGAACCAAATCCCCACATTCAAACACCCTTAAAACTCTGGAGAAATTCAGATGCAATCTTAGAGGATCACCAGCTGTCTGCTTGAGCTAACTGAATATATTGGGAAAGAACAAACTGAAATTCACCCTGGCCTAATCTATGATGTTCTCTATAATTGTTGTCAGTAATATCACTGAAGACACCAATAAGAAAAGTTGAGATGCATAATCTTTCTGAAAAATTTCTTCAATTACTGACCCTAAAATTAAGATAGCTACACTTTCCCTCCCTGCCCTACCATTTCTACTCTTTTAAAATTAAAGCAAAACAAGGAAAATAAAAACTGCATTTGTTGTTCTCTTTTGACCATACATACAAACAAGTATTGTTTACTCTGCATTTGTCCTATTTCTTTTAAGTTAGTTAAGGTTAAAACAAAGTTCAGCAATGAAAACTGAACCAACTTGCCCAACAGTCAGAAACCTTTTGGAACACAACAGCAGCAAAGGAAGACCTTATTTGCAAACTGAACTTGCAAAATTGTTACAGCTAGTTCAACAAGTGTGCCAAATGGTTCCTAGCATGGTTATAATTTGGTATCAACAAATTAAAGAGAGTTAGCATTTGGGTATAGATATGGTGACCATATTTTCTGAACCAAAATTAGGGATATGTTAGCCACACCCCTGCACGTAGTACTCTCAGGGTCAAGATGGACACATGACTAGAAGTAAAGGGTGTCATGTGACCCCTCTAAGAACTCCTCCCACTGTTGTTCTACCAATAGGGATGGATTTCGCCCACAGACCCACCCTCCCAATGCAACTAGCCTGCTATTCCATTAACCGAATTTGCATTGCATTAACTTGCGGGGAGAGGCTAAGGGAAATTTTTCCTCCCATTAGCAGAGCAAACTTTGTCTTGTGCACCAGTATTGAGTTCATGTACTCTTGTTCACATGTGTGCCACTGTGGCACTCAAGTTATTAACAAATATCTTATAAACCTTTCCCTGTTACCTCTGCTGCCATGTCTCCTCCCCTCCTCTCATCTGATCCCCTGGTGCTTGCTGCCCCCTCTTCCCCACCTTCTTCTGCTGTCCTGACTCCTGCCCTTCTCACTCCCCTCAGCCATTTGGGAGCCTGCTCCCCTCCCCTGCAGCAATCTCTCTTTCTCCCTCCTCCTCCTCCCTGTGGTTCACTCCTCCTCTAGCCCCACTCTGATTATCTGTAGCTATCCCTCCCCATCCCTTTTCCTAACATCTCCCTCAACCCACCTGCCCTGTCTCTCTCCTCTGGTACCTGTCTCCCCCTCCCCCCATGTCTGCCCTTCTGCTTCACCCCCACAATCCCCTGGCACCTGCACCTTTCCTTACCCCTGCACCTTCCTGGTGCCTCCCATGGATCCAAGATTGTAATGACAGGTTCAGCTCTCAGGATTAGAATTTAAAACCCAGCAGCCCTTACAATTTGAAGGGTTTCATATTCAGACTCAGGTTTTAATCTATTTCTAGTTATAAGAAAAACACTGATAAAGGCAGAGAAACTGTTCTAACACCGGTCCTCAAAATTCAGTTGCTGCATCTGAATTCCGTGCAGGTCTTTGAAGTTCCACCTTCAGTACACTAAGAAGGAGTCAACCAGGTGAGTACCAGATGACAGATACGACCAACTGCCAGTGGACATCTATGTGCACCTTGAAGTCTTGGGGATTCAGTACAGAATGAGTTCTATGTGTAATGTGAGGACTCACTCCGCTGATTAAATGCAAGGGATTGAGAGAAAGGCCTCTATCAGAAGTCTTAACCAATTGCGGAAATTAGAAATCCCACTTTAATGCACTACTCAGTCCCCTGGCTAAATTTCAGTTTGGGAATTCTGTACCATGTCCAAATATGTGCCTCCAGTATTTCTAATTCAATATGGGATTCTTCACTGACAATCCTAAACTATGGCAACGTGCTACCCAACAGCTGGCATATTCAATAAACATTGCCAGAGTATATACCCCCTTGCCACCCACACTGCTATCTGCATTGCAAACCAGGTAGCAGCAATTACAGTACAGAAGAAGCAATCCAATTTACAAGTTTTTACCAGCAATGAAAACAATTACTGAACGCCCATGAGTTATTACTTGTTCTCGTGCTTTCTCCAGCTGCTGAACGAGGTCTTCACGCTCGTGTGCTGCAAAGTGGCGTGCCCCAACTTCTTCATCTCCAAGTCTTTGTTTTGCTATTGTCATTCTAAGGAGCTGCAAGAAATGCCAAGACTCCATAAGCCACAGACCGCAGACTGAACACTTGAGAGAATATTAGCAGAGTATGTTGCATCACTCACTAGAAAGGCAATTTGTTGACAGAGAGCCTTTCCAGAGACTCTCTCAAATCTTCACCAGGGATATTTTATAAGAAACCACTTGCCTGCCCATGATCACAATCCCATTCTCATTCAGATTGATGGGTGTTTGGCTAATGACTTCAAAGAGCAGATCAGGCTCTCTAGCAGTAGCTGTGGGATTTTACATACGAGTAGATGTTCAATATAAGCATGGAAATATTATCCATTCACATTCTCCAGAAGGGACGAGTTTCTGAATTTTCAAGTTATTTTCTAGCAGAAATATCATGCTTTTATATCAAGCTTTTTACTCCCTCCTTCTAAAAGCTGTTTGAAAGAGAACTATTAGCCTCATTCTACAGATTACAGGCAGTCCCCGAGTTACGCGGATCCGACTTATGTCGGATCCGCAGTTACGAACGGGGCTGCCCGCTGCCCGCATGCTCCCCGTCTCCGCTCTGCTTTGCTCTCCGTCCCCCTGGTCTGCAGACCAGGGAGACAGGGAGCAAAGCAGAGCAAAGCCGCGGAGCCCAAGGGCAGCAGGACAGCCACGGCGCGTCTGGGCTGTCCCGCTGCCCGCGTGTTCTGCCGCTTTGCTCCCCGTCCCCCTGGTCTGCAGATAACAATAATTTAGGAAGCCCCTCGTTAGCTTAATGGATGATGAGCTTCCTGGCATCAGCCCAAAGGTACAGATAAATATTAAGCATTCCAAAGACAGAAAATTAAAAAACAGCATGCACATGTTCAATCCACAATATTATTATGCAAATTATCACCTAGTGGCTCATCTTATCAAGAAAATTGTCCTGCACCATATAGTTTTCTTCCACCTTTAAAATTCTGGTCATTGTCTGGTTTTCAATTGTAAAGCAATTTGGTAAGCAACAGAAATATTCCTCGGAAACCTGTACTCTAAATGATAGACACCTAGGTCATTTTTCAGTCCAGTTTTCAAACTTGATTGCCTGAAGTAAGGCACCCAGTTCTAAATTTGAATGCTCAAATAGGCAGTTAGGCACTTGAATGCCCATTTTAAGCACGTAAGTGCCAATCTGAGTGCTCAAATGTAAAAATAGGCACCCTCAGCTAGGTGATCAAGTTTTAGAAATTGTGTTCTGTATCATTTTGTGCAATTACATTACAGTTCTGGCCATATTTTCTAACGTGACTCACCCATCATCACAGATGTACTTCCTACACTAAAACCAAATGCAACCTTTGTGCAGAATTAACCTGAAGATTCAATGATCAGGGCTGTTTTTACATGAACATAAAACAAATGTTTTGAAACATCCATTAATATATAATAAAAGTGGCTGGGATTAAAATATTTAGCTAAAAGGCAAAGCAAAATCTTTAAGATCGTCAGCATCTTTCATGGCTAACATACATTATTTTACTTCTTTTTAATCCTTGAAGCCTAATTCTCAAAGTAGCCTCTATTTAACAGAGGTTTTTGAAATGGTAGGATGTTAATTCAGGTCAGGCTTTGTTTAAGAAATGAACAGCCTACAGAGTGCATAGGCTGCAGCACATGCAGCATTTACAATTGTTTATACTTTGTGCAGTTTGGAAAAAATGCTACATCCCAATAGCCCAATTTGTGGGATTTCCATAGAGGCTTCAGAAATCTGCAGTGAAAACTCCCATGACTTCCCTCACATTTTGCAGTCACACAAAGGAATTAGTGTGCATTGTTTTATTTCCGAGTTAGAAAATCAATCTTCTGAATCAGACGACTGTATAGTCCATCTGTGTTAGGTATTTAGAGGATGCTCGTCACTATAGTACATATGTTCCAGTTAAAATCCTGCTGATGCCAAGCTGGTCATCAAAACAGTTTCCTCTTCACTTCTGCCTCTGTGTCATACACCCAAGTGCTGCTATTACAGCTTCTCCTGATAAGCTTCAAGGGTGACTTTTGCAGCTCCTGAGTGAAGTAATGGTCTGCAGGCCAATTATTATTATTATATTTTTTTGACAACAGCATTTCACTCCCCTCCCAGAAAAAGAGTGCACATTAGACTAAGGAGTATACTCCTAATTGTTCCCAGAAAATATACCAAATGCTAATTTTAAAAATACATATTTTTCAAACAAGCAGGTTTAAGACTTATCATACAAACGTGAAAGGGGACATGCAGTGCTACAAAACTCTTATAGCACCTCACTTTGTACCTGGTTAGAAAAGTAATAAATCAAGCAAAAGTATTTTAAGGGCTCAGTCCTTCTACGCATAGAGGAAAATGGGAGCAGGGAACCCCTTTCCACTCCTTGCAAACAACAACTTCCCCTCCCAAGGGCATACAGCACTAGGTGGGGAACGCTTGGATAATGCCATTACACCTGCTCATCCTACACCCCAAAAACAAGTTGGGTTGTAATATGCAATTACACCAGTGGTGCTGGAACCATCTGTATAGCAAGGCTGCTGAGAGCTATTGAATTCAGCTGTAAACCCATCAAGCCAGGGGGTTCTGTCGCATGGATAGCACACCTAGTTCCAGCACCCTTGATTATAGCCTGGAGCAAATATTACTTGCAGGAATAAGGTTTGCAAGGTCCAAAGTTTGTTCCAGTCAAATCTCAGTTCCTCTACGCCCCGACTCCTGGTTCCATTAGTCAATGAAGAAGTGAGAGAGAGGGGGGAACAAAGTGCCTCTAAAATCCAACATCTTACAGGCAGTCCCCAGGTTATGTACAAGATAGGGACTGTAGGTTTGTTCTTAAGTTGAATCTGTATGTAAGTCGGAACTGGCGTCAGCCACTGCTGAAACTGATCAGTTTCAACAGCGGCTGAATCTGGACGCTAGTTCTGACTTACATACGGATTCAACTTAAGAAACCCAGGCGTCCCCAAGTCAGCTGCTGCTGAAACTGATCAGCAGCTGATTCCAGGAAGCCCAGGGCAGAGCAACTCTGCCTCAGGCTTCCTGTAGTCAGCCCCTGGTCAGTTTCAGCAGCGGCTGACTTG